CTACAGGACTATTGAATAAACGGTCAAAGGGCGGTCACTGGAATTCATTTCTTCATGTGGGTTCCCCCTACTGTTAGCTGCCTTTTTATTGACCCCCCCCCCCCCCACCCCCGTTTCAAACTCAACACTTAATCATTCCCCAGGCAGACTGGGATCTTTTCAAACTCCAGCTTTCTCTACAGATACGTTGACTGTGCAATATTTAGTCAGTGTTGATGGATTAGTTGTAAATTGTCCTTAATATGGAGATAAGAAGCCTATTATAAGGGGGGGGGGGTATATATATTTCCGCACCACCACCGCCTATTTTGTTGAAGACATGATTACATAATTAGGCTTTTAGAATATTAATTGCTTAAAATGCGTGCTGGTGGGGGGCGGGGCGTTCCGGAGGCATGTTATAGAAGATCATCAACGAGAAACAAACGCAGAWTCTAATCCCTCACATCAATGCAAAGGGTCGTAATTATGTTGCATAGGGGTGCCTGATCTCTGTCTTTAAAGGATCCCGCGATTAGGTATTCAAATCCGATGATCTGATCATTTCACCCCCTCGCATTGTAGCTTTCGAATTTGTGTAAATCCCCCCCTTTTGGCATCGCCAAATCCCATTCTCACCGGGATGAGCGCATTACACAAACCTTCTCCTGACTGCAAGACCCAAACCTCGCAGTGTAAACTGTTTCTGAGAAAGGTTATGCCCGATTTAATCCCACCTTCTGTCATTTTCTGATTTCTCGGGTAAAAAAATAAAAATAAAATAGAAATAAAAAAAAAAAACTGCGCCTAATTCTTTTAAACCGTTGCGCCAAGATTTAAAGGCGCTGCCACTGGAAGGACMCACGTGGAAATGATAATAATCGCCTTATAAACGGTGTTTTGGCACAMGTGTGTTTACAGGTGCGTTCACAGTCTCTTTAAAAGCTGCCAGGGGGTGTAAATTATAAACCAACCCTTCGATCCGAGCCGCTGCGTCGCGCGAATAATCTCCACCTCGCCGGTCCATCCCGGCTCGAAGATCCGCTGCGAAGCTGTACAAACTCCGTCTGTCTGCGTCTCCTTCCTCCTCGCCTCAGTCCGTCCCTCCTCCCTCCCTCCCTGTCCCTTCGCACTCCGCTGCAGCAGCCTCAGCACCTCAGTTGGGCAGGAGCACCGCACTGAGTCACATCTAAACACACAGACGCGCGCGCGCGCACACACACACACTCACATACGCTCTCTGCACGCACGCACACAAGACGCAGCCTCCTCCTGCGGTATCCCGTACGGTGCAGCGGCTTTTCCAGCGGCATACCAAGTGCGTCCTCGCCGAGAGATGGGAGGTGCGGCTGCCGCGTCTCAGAGCACTCAGCGCGGCTTAGAAGAGTCCTGCTGATCCGGGAATGCTGCTGGGAGTCTGCTGCCTTTTTCTTTCCCACTGCAGGAGTCGTCTTTTAACTGCACACCTGCRAGGGATTTAAAGTGGACAAGCCGCCTTATCAGGATATATCACAATTCTGAACATTTCTCATATTTTTTTGGGAGGAGGGGGGACAGTAAACGGAGTTGCTGTGGACGTGCCTCTTCTCCGCAGTGCCGATGCGGCTGGGACTGATATCTGCATAGATTTCAGGTGAGGAAAGAGGCGTTAGTTCCGACAGTCTGGGCTGCTTTGGGGCTTTTAGTGCCGTTAAAGCCAGATCTGGGTTGCTGTGTTGCTACTGCACCAGGCAGGTGACATGAGGCGTGTTGCACCTGTTCTAGCTGCGCCATGCCCGCGCAACACAGCCGATCAGGCTTGTTTTTTGGAGTTCCTTTTACGACTATAACCTAGAATAAAACTTTTCCCTTGGGAGAAGTGCAAAAATATCTTAAGTGACCTGAAATTTCACTCATGTCGGGACCTTTAGGTTGGTAGATCTCATCAATTTGCGCCTSATGCGTCCTTCATCCAGGTAGAGAGCTGCATGCCCAAACTGTGCTTGTTTCTTTTGCAGATTCACGTTAAGATGATAAATATTTCTGTCTAATAGGATAAAATAATCCTTAGGCTTAAAACGTAGACCAAATAATTTCAGGCAAAAATGAAAACAAACTGCTTACTTCACGTGCTTGTGCCAAGCCTATGTGCAATTTTGTGACATAGCCTATTTCTAAAAAAGAAAGGGATCACCTGGTTATTTTGAAAACGGTGTTGAATCAGAAGCTATTAAAGCGTTGTAATAATATTTTATCCTGAAACTATTCAAGTGTGACAACTTTTCTGATATTTTCAGAATGGCTTCCACATTAAAAAATGAGGATTTTGTTTTTTGTTTTGTTGGTAAAAAGAAAAACTCATTTTCTTGTAACAAACTAAATGCAAAACCATGCTGCTCACAAACTTTTGCAGCTTTGTCTGTGGTCTCTTAATTTGTGAAGAGCTTGTGTTGCTTGTTATAMAGTCTAGACTGGCACCCTTCTCCATGTGCGGCTTCCCGGACCGTCAGGATATGGCAGTCTTGTCCAAGCTTTTGAACCAAAGTGGCTCAAACAGGGCTTGACTTCAGGGATAGCCCTGCTCACTGCTGAAAACACTGCGGTGTGGTTACAGGGGCTGCTCAATTGTTGAAAAATCCCTGTGTCACGTTTTTAAACATAAACTTTTACACTTTTTAACATCTTGAAATTTTGGCATATTAAACAAACCATGCKGTCTTTTAATTGAGATTTTTCAAARAGTTGATTGACTTGTTGAGAGCAGATTTGAACATGGGTTTTGGGCTTTAAATGTTTACAGTTTGGAACATAAATGCTAACATTTAGATTGTCTTTTCCTGTGGAGATTTTGCATCAGTTAAATCAAGTGAGGCTGGGATTTTCTTTCTCGATTATTTAAAGTTATAAAGATCAAGGATATGTTAAAACCACACACTCGGCTCTGTGATCAGTGTTGTTCTTTGTGTTTGTAAATGAGTTTAAATGACTTTAGGTCATTTTCTGGTTTTGCCATCTATTTAATGACGGTTTGTTGGAGGAAGAAACATCACAATGCAGGCTGTTTGACATGCTGTATCTTCATGTGTGGTTTWTTATTATTATTATTATTTCAAATGTGGGTTCTTATACCTCTTAACCCCCCTACTCTGTTTTGATTTGCTTGGTCCTTCTTTTCTCTCCTTCCTCCCACCATCATTCTCACCTCATGCACAGAAAGCAGCTGCTCCGGCAAAACACGGGTCCCCACTACAGCAGTGGCACTAAGCACTCTGAGCCCCTCTACTGGTTTCCCCCTCCTTATTTCCACCTGCACTCCCAGACTCAATGCATCAATTCAGTGTTGCTCCTCCAGTCTCTAGTTCATTTTTATAAACACATGCTTTACAAATATCCTACAAGATGGATAATGTGTTGACTTCTTCATAATCTATGAGAAGCCTTACACGCTTTTTATTAAATACTCAGCTGTGATGAAAGAACAAAGCTATATGTTGGAAATCCATGAGGGGCAGTGTGGTTCAAAGCCTGTGAAGTGGAAAACCTAATTCCATAGTCTAGGACTAGACTTTTGTTGTAATAACTTCTTAAACAATATGCTTGCATCATGTTATACAGTGAAGGGTAAGGTTAATACTTTTGGGCTTTTTATTTTATTCTTTTAGCTTTGAGAACCTGCATCAATATCCACATCCCAGGTCTATTAATGAGGAAYTGGAGCTACATTTAATGAGCTTTGTTGTCTGCTGGGTGCTTATATTTGCTGTTTAACTGGGTGGTCTTCAGTTTGTGGACACTACCTTGATAYATTATGATTTCTAAATATGCATGTTGTTCTGCTAGTGCTGCCAATTAAGGCCTTCAGAGAAAAAAAATAAAGTCCCTGAGCAGTTTGATAATTCTACCTTATCATTCAGACTTCTWGTCCTTCCACCAACTTCCAGTTCAGTCCTAAACGTTGAAGTCAGTAAGAGCTTTGGTGCTACTCGTTCTCCCTTCCCCTCACCCTGCTTGCTGTCCATCAAAGTCCGCTTATAGGAATTGGAAGGGCAGGCTTTATCGGCATGTAAGCACCTCACATTGACGTACAACTCGCCGTCTGTCGGCCACTGTTACGGCTACAAGGCTGGAGCTTGGACCCGCAGAGCAGGGCCTTGTCAATATTATGACTTGCTAATGGATAAACTCTCACTTCAACCTTGGCAGTGAAGACATTCACTGCTTTTTAGGGGCGGTGCCCTTACAAGAATGAGCACCACRGAAAATCTTTGCAATGTGTTCATGTCAAGAGGGAAAGTGTGAATGAAAAATGAATGGGGGGTAATCTTAGATTCTCCATAGTAATATAAACGCCTGGTGGCTGTGTAGGCAAGAGCCAGCGGAAGTGTGTTTGTGTGTCAGTGTGTGGGTGTGAATGATACATCTGTGAATGGTTGGCAAGGCCCCATATGAATMCTCTGGTCACAGAGACGTATCGTCATGTCAGACTGAATGATGCGTCTGTGAATTAGACCTGAATGAGGCTCTCTGTTTGTTCTCATTTTCTTGTCGTTTTCCTCCCTCCCTGACTCACTTGYACACACTTAACATCCCCCTGGGCTGTGACAGGACCACCAGACACAGGCCGGTGTCCAAATTAGACTCCCTCCTCGCTCACGCCACATAACACAACAGAGGAGATTACTAATTGTATTCCTGTCTCTCCAACTCTTATTCCCAACATAATTTCTCATATTTTGAAGCAATGAAACACAATGATCAGTGATTGGATACTAATTTTTTTATTTAGCATTACAAATTTTGTATTTTAAATGTAAAATAATATCATTCTGGAGGCATAATATTTTTTGATTTTGTGTTGGATGATTGTTTCTCATACATTTGCTGTGCAAGTATGATAATGTTTTGACTCCTAAAGAGATGGTATTTCTGACTGACAGTTGGATAGCCTTAATCTAAATTCAAATTTTAGGCATGAAATTTTCTGCCGTGTTAAGAGAATAATTACCTACAAGTATGTAATTAACCCTTCAGTAATGCACTGCAGAGCTGCATATTGATGTGTGCCCCAGCAGTGTCAGAAGTCTGAAGTGAGCATCTCCAAACAATAAGCTTTGTGAATTCTGTGAGCAGAAATCAATACACGTCACAGCATCCACTTTAATGAGAACTTTTGCTCTTCTCTGACTGGTTATTTCAGCAAATGTTTTAAACCAACTGAGTAAAGATTTATTAAAACGTCTGTGAGCGTGTGCTTCTCAGAACTTCTGCCTTCATCTYGGYTACAGAGGCCTATTAAGCTGTTGCCTGTCTTTAAGGTGGTCTGACGCATGTTCATTTCACTATCACAGCAGCACCACTTTTCTTTCTCTCCCCCCCTTTAGCTTTATTTTGTGCCTTTCATCTTATTGCTCACTCTTTCTCTTTCGTATGGTTTCTGCCTCCAGCACTCTCCTCCCATATCTTTCTGCTTCACTCTAAGCTGCCAAGCACACAACTTAATCTGTGTGTGTGAGAGAGAGAGATGCTGAAAAAAAAATCAAGACTGTTGTGACATTGGAGTGACCTATGAGGAACGACATAAACAGAGGAAGGGATGCTGTCAGAGATGGAAAGCAGGAAGATGTGGAAAAGGCACGAGTGTATCTGTGGGTTTGCCAGACTGCGCCTTTTGATAAGACCATATTAAGCGTTCCTTCCAGGTCCCTATGATTCATATGAAGCAGCCAGTCTGATATATAAACAGTTTTCTTTGATGCAGCAGCAGTTGACACGCTGTGGCATATTGGCTCTTATGCTTGTGTGTGCCAAGCCAAGCATGACAAGCACTAAATTAGTTTTGTTTCGGATGCATGAAATGACGAGAAAATTGCAGACAGTCTTAARGCAATTTTTCGTGCGTGTGTTGCGTTTTCTCTCATTTGCTCCTTCACTGTCATCTAAAGTCCATTGCAGGATTAGAGACATAATTTTGTTCTTATTCCACTTTCTGTAACACATACACTCACACTCACATTTCTTGTTGAAATCAAACAAAATGTTACMGGTTCTAATTTCATTAGGAATTGAAATAAAAACACATAAATAGTAATTTTGTTTTTGCGTTTTGTCTCACAGGATTCTTGTAGGCTCATCCTTCCTTTAACCTGTGGGATTTTTTTTATTAATATATTTTTTAAATGAGCTTGCCAGAATAGACTACATTTTGATTTTTAAGCTAAATAAAGACACAGGTCCAGTTGTTTWTTTTATTTGTAACCTTTTGAGCAACAAACTTGTACTGTTGCCATTACAGTAGCAAATGTTGATGTGCTTGCGTTCATCTTGCGTCGTAGCTCTACTTGAACTTTATTACTTGCTGAAGCTGTGGATTGACCTTAATAAGTGCCATTCCTAAGGAAAATTGAACTTGTTTTAACTTGAAAAGAGAATCAATGCTCACTGGGCTAGGTTCTGGAAGAGGTCAATGGCTTCCTTTTAGTTTTGAGCTTTCAAAACAGTTTACAGCAGCAGCAAATGAAAACAAAATCAGCATTACTCCCCTGCTTTTGTTAAATGTGTGYAAAGAGCTTTTATGAAGCTGAGTTTTATGATAAAAATATGAACTGATAAAAGTAATAGTCATCCAAACTGAGCACTTAGTTCAATTGACACTTG